CCGACCGACGAGCCTCACTACATGCAACCATCCGGAGCCTCCTGAGCGCAAGCAGGGCATGCCGACCAGTCCCGGTCCGCCACGTGGCCAGAATCACTGGCATGCTTGCATCGATGGGTGTCGCACTTGGCGCGACCGCTCGCGCATTCAGCCACGCTATGTTACAAGTGATCAACGAAGCACCGTCATGGAAAAGCAGCGTGGTTATCCCCCCATCTGCAGCAGAGGAGCTCCAATTTTGGCTCGAGGAATTTGACCGTTTCAACGGCGCACCTTTTCACGTCAGGAACAGCTACGGCGCAGTAATCCATGTGGATGCCAGCTCTCATGGTTGGGGCGCCACTCTGACCACATTTCCGGGCGGCCTCGAAAAAGCTAGCGCAACCATGTCAGAGCCGCTACAAGGAACGTCCAGCACGCGATGGGAGATCGAAGGCGTCCTTTGGGCGCTCCAAACATACGCGACCAAGATCAAGCAAAAACACGTTCTCGTGCGGGTGGACAACCAGGGCGTGTTCTTCATCCTTCGAAAAGGCAGCTCTCACAGCCCCGACCTCGCAACGGCATGCAAGAGCATCATCCAAACATGCATGGAGCTTGGCACGCGCTTGATCATCGAATGGATTCTGCGCGAGCTCAATACACACGCCGACCAACTTTCAAAAATGGTCGACCACAACGATTACGCGCTGAAAACGTCGTGGTTCCGCATCTTGGAACGTCGTTGGGGGCCCCACTCCATCGACCTCTTCGCAAATTCCCGCAACACCCAACTACCGCGCTTCTGCACAAAGATTCCCCACCCAGAAGCTATCGCAGTTGATGCGTTCTTGATCGCGTGGACACCCGAAAACAACTTCGCCTTCCCCCCGCCCCAACTGGTCCCAGCCGTCCTCCATCACGCACAACGCACCCATGCATCACTCACACTGATAGTTCCGCACTGGCCAGGCGCAAGCTGGTGGCCACTTTTGCAACCCTCCCCATGCACTTGGGCTCCACACATCCACACGCATATCCCTCTGACACACGGAAGCCAATGCCTAGACGCAGGGTCCCATTCCAATGCTTTTTCAGGCATGGGACTACCGCACAGCCCAATTATTGCACTGAGAATGGCATTTGACTAATTCAAAACATCAACGCCCTGTGTTCAGATTTGCTCCCAAAGTTACACGACCAAATGATCAACATGCTCGCGCAATCTCGCGCCGATTCTACGATCCGGACATACGAACCATACTGGGCCAAGTTTCGAGCCTTCTGCACAAAAGTGAACCTCCCATTTCTTCCGGCATCCGACATGACCCTCGCGCTCTACCTGGTACACGCAATCCGACGCAAAGCCACCCTGTCCGTAGTGCAGCTGACGTGCTCGGCGGTCAGCTTCGCTCATCGCATGACTGGGAGCAAATGCCCGACAACCGGACCGTTCACCACCCAAGTCCGTGACTGTGCAAAACGACACTGCCCTCGCCCTACTCGTATGAAGGAACCCGTATCGATCCAACAAGTCCGGGACATGGCCGCGAGTTACTTGCAGTCCGACGATCCCGCAACGTTTCAGAAAGGGTTGATCCCCATCCTCATGTACTCAGGATTCCTGCGATATTCGGACCTGGCAGCCATAAAATGGCAAGACATCCAATTCGACGACGAGGTCATGTGGATTCTCATACCACACTCCAAGACCGATCAGGCTGGTCATGGCACTTGGATTCCCATTGCAGCAACGACAGACCCTTGTTGCCCAGTGCGCTGCACCCGACGCTTCATCCAACTGGCCGGCTACGGCCCACACTCAGAGGGACCATTGATTCGGGTCTTCGGCCACGCTTCAACCAGCGAGGGCCAAGCAAGGCCACCCTCATACACCACGATCCGGAACTGGTGCAAGGAAGCCTTCGCAAAAGTGGGCCTTGGAGACCTGCAGCTCGGCACACATTCTTTCCGAAAAGGTGCAGCCACAGTAGCAGCCAACACGGGCGTGCCAGACAGGGTCTTCAAACGGCTGGGCAGATGGCGAAGCGACTCAACAAAGGAAATGTATGTTACACCATACGTCTGTCGAGAGATTAAGGTGAACGAACGAGTAGATTAAGCTAGGGCCTAGGCTTAGTAGCCTAGGCCCAACTAGAGTATCGAGCGGGTTTCTCCTAGGCGAGGTATCGAGTGAGTTGGAAGAGAGAAATTGGGAAGAATGATGTTTCACTATAGGGTTCGAAGTACATATAGCATAGGAAACAAATAAGGTGCACCACCAACCACAGTTTAAATAACTACGCTAACTACAGCTACAAGCAGTTATAAAAGATGACAAATATATTTCGACACGCCCCCATAATGCTTGTAGGTAGAAATGTAGTTACGCCATGCAAAAGAATAACAAGCAACAGCAGGTACTGCAGGCGGGCTAACATTGAATAGTTACCCCCTCCATCTCCTCACCCTCCTCCTTCCCCTCCCCCACACTGCTGCAGGAGCAGCAGAGAAGGGGGGAAGAGAGGAGAGGTGGAGGGACGGCTGCATGTTGCCTCACACCCGCCACCCCGGTACCACTCCCCCTGCTCCCCCACATCCTCACACCCTCCCCCCCCAGCGGCAGCTGCAGCGGTGGGACTGAAAGAAGGAGGAGGGGAAGGGAGAGAGTTGACCCAACACTCCAACACCCGCCACCCCCATACCCTCCTCCCCACGGCTGCAGGGAGACAAAGGAGGAGGGGGGTGGGCGGGAAGAAAGCCGCAGAGCGGCTAAACGGTGTCGGCGCAGATGGATCAGGGGCGGCTTCAGGGAGAGCAGGGGCGGAAAGGCCCGTCGCGTGCCAGTGCCACGGGGCGCACGACGGGTAAGATAAGAGCAAGGGCCCGATCGTGTGCCTCGGGGCGCACGACGAGCAGGGCACCATCGTGTGCCACGGGGCGCACGATGGGCAGGTTAAGGGCACCGTCGCGTGCCACGGGGCGCGCGACGGGCAGAAAAGGCGTCACACGCCAATTGGGGGCGGGACAAGGAAAAATTCGTCACGCGCCCTAGGCGCGCGACCAAAAAATCGTAGCAGCGGAAACGTGAGGCCAGAACGAACGTCGCTCTGATAACATGTCGAGAGTTAAACAAAGAATGAGAGAAGATTAAGTAGGGCCTAGGCTTAGTAGCCTAGGCCCAAGTAGGATATCGAGCGGGTTTCTCCTAGGCGAGGTATCGAGTGAGTTGGAAGAGAGAAATTGGGAAGAATGATGTTTCACTATAGGGTTCGAAGTACATATAGCATAGGAAACAAATAAGGTGCACCACCAACCACAGTTTAAATAACTACACTAACTACAGCTACAAGCAGTTATGAAAGATGACAAATATATTTCGACAACGTCGAGCCTCTTATCGAAGCCTCCCGTAACCTACAAGACCTGACGCATGCAGCGTCATCGGCACAACACTCAGAGGCACTCGTACGCAACCGGAGGCCCCCGCTGCCCATGTCTCAGAGACCCCATTTGTAATGAGAACGATGTCAATTGATAAGAATATGAAAGCAAGCTTTCTCAATATTATAATTTTTAAACACACATTGTGTTTTTTAAAATTGTGTATTGTGAAAGCGAAGCTGCTTGTATTGTGAAAGCGAAGCTGCTTGTACTGCACAATTGGCATCGTCGAAGCGCGCTAAACGCCCTTCTCCAACTACAAAAACCGTGGGTTGGAGTTCATTTCCCTCCACCCACGTTTCTCGATTTTCAAACGGCTCACTCAACACTCCCACCACCCACCCCAGAGTAAACCGCCTTGCTAATGCCACTTGGATAGGGTGCATCTTAGCTAGTGTTATTCGATTGCACCAGCTTGTGTTCAACGTTGATGCAAATGTTGTAATAAGCCATTTGTAATGAGAACGATGCCCCCATTTGTAATGAGAACGATGCCAATTGATAAGAATAAGAAAGCAAGCTTTCTCAATTCAGGACACAAGCGAAGCAGCCCAAATCGAAGCATCGCGGGTCAACTATCGGAAGTTGAGGTAACCGCCTGGAGGAAGGTCAAAGGTCAGCGACCTTTGACTTGACAAATACAGCGCGACAGCAAGGACACACAACTGACTCGACATTGAGCAGTTGCCCGAGTCGCACTGTATCGAATCGCAACAGCAAAACAGTTTAATGACATCTATTCATGTTCCTTGTACTCTTATATAAACCTTTGTATTTGCTTGTTTTAATTAACTTACTTTGCCCTCACACACTAGCGCAATGTGGTTCAAAGACTTTTATTCAACGCTTCCGCTATTACATCATCCTACTCAGACTTTAACTCTACAAAGATCCTAGGGCACCTCAGCCCAACACTCGGGACCTACCACCTAGTCTCATTTGCAGTTTTCACCTATGACGACTGCACTGCACACTCCTCTGAAAGTCGTGTCACAATATGATGAAATAGAAGAGACGCTCCTCCTAAAAAAAAAGGGTCAGTGTCGGACTCAATCACTTAATTAGTAAAGCTGGAGTGTATAAGAAAAGCAGGGATTTGGAAACATATATCCAAATGCTGTACTTGCTTGCGCGTTCCTCTCTATTGGCAGTACCAAAGCAATGCAGAACTCCATGAGACAGCTCTTGGCTACATGCACCATATCATGTCGCTGCATATACAATTGCCTGTACCTGCTATCACTACTCTCCTAATGATGTCCGTAAGCTCAAACCGCCCTGTCCCCTTCACTGCACACTTAGATGACAATATCAACATTCCGCGTTCCTCTCTATTGGCAGTACCAAAGCAATGCAGAACTCCATGAGACAGCTCTTGGCTACATGCACCATATCATGTCGCTGCATATACAATTGCCTGTACCTGCTATCACTACTCTCCTAATGATGTCCGTAAGCTCAAACCGCCCTGTCCCCTTCACTGCATACTTAGATGACAATATCAACATTCCGTAACAGTCACAAAACTAATATCCAACATGCCACAAGCATCAGCAAGAGCATGCCGAATCTACGGCCTACTGCTGCTTCTGCTGGCGAACAATCTTCGCGAGGGCACGCTTGCGGATATCCACATTCTGACCCAACCGAATAATATTGAACAGCCCTTCAGGGAAGCGGTAGATGATCCCCCACATGACCCCGTGCGCCCAGTACGGCGTGACCCGCACCTCCTGCCCCACCCAGTTGGCCCCGTGCTTTGCATACTGGTCAGGGGATGGGCAGGTGAGCGACGCGTGGCGGATCTTGGACATCTTGGTGGCCACGAACAGAGGGGCCTGCCGATGGGAATCATCCAGAAAAGGCACAAGGAAAAAAAACAGGTCAGTCCTGGACCAATGTTTGTGGGGAACAGCGGACCTTGGCCATTTTGGTGGTCACGAACAGAGGGGCCTGCGGATGGGAAGCAACAGGGAGAAGCAACGGCGACATGGAGGCATAGAGAGAAGAACTCGGCTTTTATAACTCATGATTGTGGGGCATGGCGGAGTGTTGAGCATCTTGGGGCGTGCAGGTGGGCTGCATCAAATGAATGAATCAGCCAGTGAGATCACTAAGGCGATTGAGCCTCTAGACGCGCAACACCACCTGGTGTATCGTTGTTACCAAGTTGGTCACGAACACAGCGGCATTCGTGTGTGAAGCAACAGATGAGCTCACGAAGAGGCGACTAATGGACGGGTTTGGGTTGACGGGGAAAGTGGATTGAGGCTCAATAACGAGACGTGGAATGCGGGTACAGGATGATGTAGGGGGAAGGAGAGGAGGGGCGAGGCACAGTGGCGCGAAGGAGGTGAACGAATGACCAAGACGAGAAACAACAGAGGGTGGGTTGTGGGGCGATGTGAAGCATGGGTTCAAGCTGAACAAAGGATGACAGAATGTAAACACTTGAGGCACAGAAAGCAGACGGTATAGGAGGTGACATATGAGCCATGAAGTGAGGCATAGAATGAAATGACAGCTGGCTGAAAGGGGAAGTCCGGCTGAAGAACACTGTTCAGTCGTACGAGCAAGGAAGTGGCGGCGGATTGTAGAACTCAACATTAGAAATAAGTCACTCGACTTTTATTTCACTCTCAAAATTCCTGGAGCTAGTTAGAACTAGTGTTATTCACAAGCCCAGGTGAAGCTAAATGGAAAAGAATAGACCAATGCACCTTAGAAGTAGCCTCAGTAAAACTCGCCTTCCCCTTATTTTTTCGCTTCATATCTTCGCGTATTAGACATTGTGCCAGGAAGGCTCCTGCAATAATTGCGATCTCCGTGGCTCACTTCAACCTGCCGTCAATTCCCTTGGAAGGCTATGCACGATGGGATTCACCTAGGCTCTTACGATGGCTGCGGCCCACCTGAATCGTCAATCCCCTTGAATGCTATTGACGGCTAGCTTATGAATTTGCGTATCCGTCCGTTAGACAGCGTGTGGGTTAGGCTCCTGCAATAACCGCGGCTCACTTCAATCTGGACGTCAATCCCCTTGGATGCTATTCATGGTGCACCTAGTCTCTTACGATGGCTGGGGCTCACCTGAACCTGCACGTCGATGCCCTTGAATGCATTTTCCATGACGCTATTCATCTAGGCTCTTGCAATGACTAAGGCTCACCTGAACCTGCACGTCGATGCCCTTGGATGCATACTCCATGTTGATGCTGCGGGAGAATTGGTCCACAAACCTGCACGTGAAGCCGAGAAGGGAGGGAAACATGAAAAACAGGTTTATCGAGAAGAAATTAACACATGGTCCTGTTTCTACGAATCTGTAATTGTAAGCAAAACACGCCAAAAAAAAAAAAAACGACAGCGGAAAAGGATAGAAACACGGCTTGAATTTCGTCGCCTTGGTGATACTTACGCCTTGGTGCCGGCATAGACGGAATAGAGCGGATCAGATGGAATGACCGTTGAGTTTTGGATCGACTCAGAAGTCACCTTGGTGAGACTTACGCCTTGGTGCCGGCATAGACGGAGTAGAGCGGATCAGACGGAATCACCGTTGCCACACCCGATCCGATGTTCACAATCGCGCCACGCTTCCTCTTGATCATGTTCGGAATCACGATCTTGGTCAGGCGGACAATGGGCTCGATATTGATGTTGATCAGATCCGATATAAGCTTGTCCTCAACCTCGTGAAGGTACTGCGCATGCGGATAAGACATTCCGGCGTTGTTAACGAGAATGCCGACTTCCAATTCGTCGACCAGCTTGCGAACTTGATCGTACGCTGCCGTCAGAGCCGGGCCAGGATTCGTGAAATCCGCAACGACGATTCGCGTGTCGACTTTGTACTTTGACGAAAGTTCGCTCGCGACGGCCTCGAGTTTCTCCTGGGTCCTGCTGACGAGAATCAGGTTGATTTTCCTCTTCGCGAGCTCCTTCGCGAAACCCTTACCGATGCCGTCAGTGCATCCTGTAACAATCGCCCAGGGGCCGTAACGACGGAGGTTCTTGGCGGGCCGAAGGAAGAGGATCCAGATTCCGTTGAGGAACGAGAGCAGGCCTGAGAAGAGCCATAGGAGGCCGATCAATGCAAGGCCGATCACAAACAGCTCCGAAGGCTGCTTGCTCTTAAGAACCTCCAAAGCCGCGATTATCGGGCCCGCTTCAGCCATCTGCCTAACAGCGAAATAGAACGACCACCTGAACAACAATAAGCGGACTGTAAAAGAAGCGGAAGCGAGCACCTAAAATAACGAGAACTCACAGCAGCCCAAAAAGATCGAGTGAGGAGGAAAACTCGAGAAGTGTTTCGGACTCCAAACTCGACCTTGGCGCAAGGGGATCTTATGCCACGACAAAGGATTTTAGAGTGATTTGTCGCGATAAAGCATGTTAACAAAGCGGTGAATCAGTGTGCTGTGAAATGCTCATTCGTGCAATGGGAGCTGGTGCAGAACGCTAGGATGGGATCTGGACGAGATCGACGGCTGTTAGAAAGGATAGGAAGGCGGGAAACGTGGATGGAGGACCCAGATGTGAGGACCACGATTATGTGGACGGGTACACGTGGTAGGCCGCGATACGTTGTCAGAAAAGCCACCACGCATTGGTCCTCTACAAACACAATACGACACAGTCATTGACTCAAGCTCTCCGCCATCAAGCTCTCCGCTTCCCTGCATGCTTCCGTCCTCGTTTTCGTTTGCTCTCAGCTTACAAAGTTGGTAAAACGAGTACAAAGTATGTGAGAAGGCATGAGCAAATACAAAGCAAAACATGCAAACGGTAACGCAGTGCGTGCGAGCTAGCCAATGCGATGCTGGCAACGAGGCTCGGGCTAGCACCGAAGCGTAGGCTGACCCAGGCCAGGCCAGTGATGCATCGTTTGGCAAATGCAACATGCGAAGGCGGTGAAACACCGTTACCGTATCAATAACGGGCGAAGAAACGGTCGGTCCTGTATGCGATATTGTGATGCGCGGTAAGGAATGTCGAAAAATCCTTACATACTGACACGCTCCGTAAAAAATCGCCAAAGCCATTACAAAAACATGACGTATGCACACCAACATGTAACTGCTCTCCACAAGTAACCCCTAATAGGGCTCTTCCTCATCTTCATCTACATCCACAAACCCATCGCCATCCCTACCCTCTTCTTCACTGCTACCCCCTTCCTCCACCTCTCCCGCTCCACTCCCTCCACCCCTACCCTCGTCTCCATCCCTCTCCTCCTCCCCCTCGTCCTCGTCACCTGGTATTCCCCCACCCATATCACCCTCCTCTTCTGCATCCTCCCCATGTACCTCTTCATCCTGTTCCTCTTCTCTCTCACCTCCCTCCCTCTCATCCCTCTCTTCCTCCTCTCCCTCCTCCCCCACATGACCTTCCTCCTCTTCCTTGGTATTTTCCCTCTCATGGTCACCTGTATCTGCATCCCCCTCTTCATCATCTCCCCCCTCATCCATTTTCCTCCTCTTCCCCCCACCTCTCCCATCCTCCTCAATATCCTCTGCCTCCTCAACCTCCTTTTTTTTCATCCCTCTCCCTCTTCCCCTCCCCCTCCCACCCCCTCTCCCACCTCCTCTCCCGGCTCCTTCCCCCATTCCTCTTCCCCCACCCCTCCCCCCTCCTCTCACCCCTCTCCCTAACCCCCTCCCCCGCCCCCTCCCCCCTGCTCCCACTCCTCTCCCACCTCCCCTCCCCCGTCCCCCTCGTCCCCCTCTTCCTCCTCGCCCCCCTCCCCTAACCCCAACCTTCCCTCCTCTCTTCTTCTTGCCTCCCAACCCTTCCACCTCCCCTCCTTCCTCCTCTCCCTCCTTCCCCTCCCCTTCCCCCTCCCCTCCCTCCCCCTCATCCCCTTCCTCCGCCTCATGCTCCATCACTTCCAGCTGTGCACAATCCGATGGCCAGAAACAAGCCAGATATGCAATCAGACGGTCACCGGTGCAGCCATAGGATTTAAAACGCCCCAGAGACGATATATAAATTAAAGGAAACCAAATGCAAGGAGGGGATTGGTAAAGGAAGGCAAGATAAGAAGGGCAAGAGAGGACATGGGAGGGCGAGGCAAGAAAAAAACAAGCAAGTATCGAAACCATCACGGGTCAAGGAAAACGGAATACAAGAAGTTTGACACTTCCGATTGAGGAAAATAAAAGAGCATTGGTTCTAACGAGTACAGATGGTGAGATAGGTTAGCAGGGTTGCAGTAAGCCCAAATGTGCAAGACGAACAGACAGTGGTGGAGATGGGTACTAACAAGCACCAAATGTGCTGAGAGAGAGAGTAAGGGAGAGCGTGTGGAGAGAGAGTAAGAGAGAGTGTGCAGAGAGAGGGTAAGAGAAATTGTGCGGAGAGGGTTAGTATTACAATGCAGAGAGGGTAAGAGAAAGCAAGTGTGCGAAAGAGGGCAATAGAGATTGTTCGTATGGAGGGTAAGAGAGAGTGTGTGGAGTGAGGGTAAGAGAGTGTGCGGAGTGAGGGTAAGAGAGTGTGCAGAGTGAGGGTAAGAGAGTGTGCGGAGTGAGGGTAAGAGAGTGTGCGGAGTGAGGGTAAGAGAGTGTACGGAGTGAGGGTAAGAGAGTGTGCAGAGTGAGGTAAGAGAGTGTGCGGAGTGAGGTAAGAGAGTGTGTGGAGTGAGGTAAGAGAGTGTGCGGAGTGAGGGTAAGAGAGTGTGCGGAGTGAGGGTAAGAGAGTGTGCGGAGGGAGGGTAAGAGTGAGCGTGCTGAGAGGGATATCCACATCTTTGGCCGCTCGAAAGACATGGATAAAGCAAGAGAGTGCGACGAGAGAGAAAGGGCAAGTGTGCTGAGAGGGATATCCACATCTTTGGCTGCTCCTCCCGCCATGATGCCCCGTAGCTCCCCCTCCACCTCCTCCACTATCTCCGGCTGTCAAGTTTAAAACAGTATTGAAGTAATGGGGATAAAAAAGAGAATTCAATGCAAGGAGGCAATGATTCCCCATAGCTCCCCCTCCACCTCCTCCACTATCTCCGGCTGCCAGGCAGGGAATAAAAAGGAGGGATTATAATGAGCATTGAGTGCAGCGAAAAAGATTCTTTGCACCTCCGCCTCCACCTCCTCCACTATCTCCGGCTGATTTTGGAGGCGCATAAAAAAACCGCCTCGACACCTCCACTATCTTCGGCAGCACAAAACAAAAGCATGATTGGAGAGGAGGAGATGAGAACGAGAAATGGGTTTCCAGGGGTCATGCCAACAAACAATTCATCTCCCACTGGTGGCACATCACATCACAGTAAGAAGTGATGCAAGCATGCTGCCATGAACAAGAAATGGGTTTCCAGGGGTCATGCCAACAAGTCATGCCAACAAGTCATGCCAACAGTTCATCTCCCACTGGTGGCACATCACATCACAGTAAGAAGTGATGTAAGCATGCTGCCACGGACAAATGTAGTGATCATCTTATGACATATGTATGACATGAACAAAGCAACTCACGATGAGATCAGGTTCGCGCCTGACTCAAAACACGACTCATTACACGCAGATTATATGTGGAGAAATTGTTTGTTGCATGGCAAATTGGTTGTAACCTTCACAGGTTACTGGTACGCGCGCGGCTTTGTATGTATGAAATGAACACAGCAACTCACAATGAGATCAGGCTCGCGCCGTCTCCCCATGTCCCTCATGGGCGTCCTTGAGACGTCTCAAAAGTCTCCCCACGTCCCTCATGGGCGTGGTGAGGCCAATGAGCTGAATGCAAGTGCATGACAAAACAACAAGTGCACTGTGATGTGAAATGCACACAGCAACTCACGATGAGATCATGCTCGCGCTTGAAGCACCGTCTCCTCAGTTCCCTCATGGGCGTGGTGAGGCCATTGAGCTGAATGCGAGTGCATGACAAAGCAACAAGTGCACTACGAAATGCACACAGCAACTCACGATGAGATCATGCTCGCGCTTGAAGCACCGTCTCCTCAGTTCCCTCATGGGCGTGGTGAGGCCATTGAGCTGAATGCGAGTGCATGACAAAGCAACAAGTGCACTACGAAATGCATACAGCAACTCACATTCAGATCTGGCTCCCATCGAAACCGTCGTCTCCGCACGTCGCCCGGTGAGGCCGTTGCAGTCAATACAGTGAGTGAGAGTATATGCAGCAGCACACTCACATTCAAATCTGGCTCCCGTCTGAACCGTCGTCTCCGCACGTCGCGCATAGGCGGGGTGAGCCCATTGCGGCTCTCCGGTCCCTCAATGGGTCGCTCTGCCTCTGATGGCTCCCGCACCACAATCATCTGATAAAGACACAACACATGCAGTAAAAACACACGTGGTGGGGTGTGGTAATCAATACCGTCACAGTAAAGAGCATGGGATGTGGTGAGCCCGTTGCGGCTCTCCGGTCCCTCAATGGGTCGCTCTGCCTCCGATGGCTCACTCACCACAATCATCTGATATCACAGTCACATGCAGCACAGTCACATATGGTAGTGTGCCAATCGTTACAGTCACAATCAGGAGCAAGCGAGGGCGGGGTGAGCACGTTGCGGCTCTCCGGTCCCTCAATAAGCCGCTTCGCCTATAATGGCTCCTTCACCACTATCATCCGTTACAGTCACACACAGTGGCACACTCACATACATTACAGTAAATTAGGATGGTGTGACGATTTACACAATCACAATAATGTCCCACCAGCCCACGTCCCACCTGCCTGCCCCACGTCCCACCTGCCTGCCCCATGTCCCACCTGCCTGCCCCATGTCCCACCTGCCTGCCCCACGTCTACCGTTTTGACAATGGAGTTTTCATCGTTCCCCCAGTTTTCCAAACTCTCTCCCACCTTCCCCAGAATCAAACGTTTACACAACCGAGCTTCTCCGAATCCAGCCTTCCCCGAATCCATCCTTCCCCGGATCCAGCCTTCTCCGAATCCAGCCTTCCCCGAATCCATCCTTCCCCGGATCCAGCCTTCTCCGAATCCAGCCTTTTCCGAATCCAGCCTTCTCCGAATCCAGCCTTCTCCGAATCCAGCCTTCCCCGAATCCAGCCTTCTCCGAATCCAGCCTTCCCCGCATCCCACCTGTCCCACATCTGCCATTTGACAGGCGAGTTCTCGGCATACGTCTTGCGAGTCCTCCGCATACGTCTTCCACAACTCCACCACACCCCACCACACCCCACATCCAGCAACGGCCTCCCACCTACCCTCTAACTTTACCTGCCCCACGCCCCGCCTGCCCCACGCCCCGCTGCCCCACATCCAACCTACCCGGTTAACCCCACGTCCCACCTGCCCCACGTCGGCCGTTTTGACGAGCGAGTTATCATCATATGTCTTCCACGACTCGACAACCGCTGGCAGATCCAATAAGGAGGCGGAAAAAGATTCCCCGCCCATCAAAAAGGAGCCCGTTCGGCCGTCAGCTGGTGTTGGGAGGAGATGGGGTGGTGGGGTGGGGTGGGGTGGGGTGGTGAGGACGAGCGAGCTGTCATCATGGGTTTTCCAGGAATTTTTTGAGTCGACTCAAAAGGCGATTTTTGGCGATTTTTGAGTCGACTCAAAAGGCGATTTTTGGCGATTTTTGAGTCAATTCAAAAATCGCCTCATCACACGCGGGGTGGTGAGGACGAGCGAGCTGTCATCATGCGTTTTCCAGGAATCCACCACCGCTGGCAGGTCCAGGAGAGAGGCGGAGAAATATTCCCCGCCCATCACAAAGGAACCAGTGCGCCCGTCAGCTGGTGTGAGTGAAGTGGGCGTAAGGGAGCAGTGAGAGTGGTGGACGAGTTATTGTCATGCGCCTTCCACGACTCCACCACCGCTGGCAGGCCCAGCAGAGCCAGTTCGGGCGTCAGCCAGTGTGGGTGACTGATGGAGGAAGGGGGGAAGGACTGCGACTGGTGAGGTGAGGACAGGTTGACTTTGCAGAGAGGGGCGCAGGAGAGGATTCCCCCTGTGATCACCAAGTAAAGAATGCGATGCGACCGTCAGCTGGTGTGGGTGGAGTGCAGGTGGGGGAGGGGCAGAAATGCGAGTGGTGAGGACGGGTTGACTCGCACGATAACTCTACTCTATCTATTACCGCAGGCAGATCCAGCAGAGAGGGGCGCGGGAGAGGATTCCCCTTGTGATCACAAAGTAAAGAATGCGACCGTCAGCTGGTTCGAGGGAAGGTGGGGAAAGGGGAGGAGTGTGTGTGACTGGTGAGGACGGATTGATTCGCGTCATTCTTCTACCATCGCTGGCAGATCCAGCAGGGGGGGATGCGGCGAATGACTCCTGACCTATCACAAAAGAGATCGCGCAACCCTCAGCTGGTATGGTTGGTCCTTGAGGTGTAAGGTAGCAGCAAGGGAGCGGTGAGGACGGATTGATTCGCGTCATTCTTCTACCACCGCTGGCAGATCCAGCAGGGGGGGATGCGGCGAATGACTCCTGACCTATCACAAAAGAGATCGCGCAACCCTCAGCTGGTATGGGTGGTCCTTGAGGTGTAAGGTAGCAGCAAGGGAGCGGTGAGGACGGATTGATTCGCGTCATTCTTCTACCACCGCTGGCAGATCCAGCAGGGGGGGATGCGGCGAATGACTCCTGACCTATCACAAAAGAGATCGCGCAACCCTCAGCTGGTATGGGTGGTCCTTGAGGTGTAAGGTAGCAGCAAGGGAGCGGTGAGGACGGATTGATTCGCGTCATTCTTCTACCACCGCTGGCAGATCCAGCAGGGGGGGATGCGGCAAATGACTCTCCACACATCAGAAACGAGCCTGCGCAACCCTCAGCTGGTATGGGTGGAGATTAGGGTAAGGTAGCAGCAAAGGGAGTGGTGAGGACGGGTTGACTGGCAAAATTCTACCAGGGAGGGATGCGGGAGAGGATGCCCCCATTGATCACAGAAGAACCCATGAGAACTAGGGTTCCGCTGCAGCTGTCAGCCGGTTTACCTACCTTGAAAAAGGTTTTCCATAGCAGCGGCGGCGGAATTTTGAGTCTCATAAGGCAGGGAGGGATGCGGGAGAGGATTATTCCAGTTATCACAGAGGAACCCGTGTGCCTGTCAGTTAGGTTTACCTACCTTGGCAGACGAGCTCCATGACGGCGTCTGTGGCGAATTTTGAGGCGCTCGAAAGGGTTCCCCCCACTATTACAAAGGAACCCGTGCGGCCGTCACCTGGTTCACCTACCTTGGAAGAAGAGCTCCAAAGCGGCGCCCGCGGCGAATTTCGAGTCTCATAAGGCAGGGAGGGGTGCGAAAGAGGATCACTCCAGTTATCACAGAGGAACCCGTGCGGCCGCCAGTTAGGTTTACCCACCTTGGAAGAAGAACTCCATGGCGGCGTCGCCGGCGGGAAAGAAGTGTAGTTTTAAGGCGTCTAAAAACTGCACTTCTTTCACCCGTCACCTGGTTCACCTACCTTGGAAGAAGAGCTCCATAGCGGCGTCGGCGGCGGCCGTAGGGTCTTCCCGCAACACGCGGTCCATCCGCGAAGCCAGCGACGGTGGTAACCGCAGCACGAAATGCTCCTCCATGACGTTTGCGAACTTTTGAGTCACCCTCAAATTAGGAGCTGCCTATTAAATGCGTTGTTGACTGCAGGATCGATGCAAACGCAAAAAGGCTCCGAACGCTAGTGGCTTCAAGTGAACTAGCCGTTAGAGTACAAATTGTTGACACGAATCAACACTGGCGAGCGTGCGACGCCTGCACGAGTGACGCTGTACTAGTGGGTGACGGGTGGGAGCGAGCAACGGGAGAATGTGAGTGAAGAGAGTCCGCAGCAGGAATGGGAAAAGCCATTGCCGCGAGATCGCTCTGCTGCGTACTAGACTTAGCTACTTATACGAGTACTGGCTGGAAGAAGAAGGAATGCCAAAATACTTAGTCGTACTGCCCTAGTTCTTGCCTTAAACACATGAATTTCACATTTCCAGGTTTACTACAAAGACAGTTACAAGCTATAATCTCAACTAATTGCAACATCGGGTACCCCTGCGTCGAACCACGAGGTTCAACTTGGACACTGCGAGTGCGCGCCGATTTGTTTGGCGATTAATCCCACATACTTAGCTCCGCCTGGAATGAGCTAGCTGGCTGGTGGCTCAGTTGAGGCTAGTGGGAATAGGAGCGCAGCGGCACACCAGACTAAAAACTGCAGAAACCGTCTCTACCGACTCTAAATGCGAAGTACAAGTTGCAAATTACATTTTTTGTTTTCGCCCGCGAATCGAAACGAGACCTGAACAAATATGAACTTCGCCTACTCTGTACTTGCTGTGAAACGTAAGTGGTGGTCCCCTCCTCCCTATCTACACGACCTAACTTGACCTCCGTAGTTTAGGGAGCCCACTAGTTTTAGGGCAGCTATGGTAGTATCGAAACCCTAGCCCAGCCTGCAAGTAAACTAGGTCAGAATGACCTCGTTGCAAGACATTCACAAGCTCAAAACACGCATATCACATTTTCATCCTACTGCCACATCGAGAGACCCTGTATCGAAGATAGAATTCTCAGGTGGGACAATTCAGAGGTCGCTAGACCAAATTCGCTGGATACCAGAATAACCATCCCAGTTCGAAGCATTCGCGAAAGCGGAAAATCTGACCATCTGCCCTCGGATGACGTGGTTTGCTCTAATTGGATTAATCAAATTCGGCAAATAAGCTCACATGAAAAACTTCGCATTTTGCCTAGTCCCGAATCGCGTAGCATTCCCGCTTCGATTACACACTCGAACTTTGGTCCTACCACTCGAATTCGAAATTTGTTCACTCCTCTCCCCACCCCATCTCAAAGATAAATACCTCCCAACCAGCTCAAAGCAAATCGTCCAGCCAGCAAAGCACTACCATCCTCAGCCAGCCCGTTTTCTTCAGCTTGTGCTCAGTCCCCCACCAGCATCATGGCTGCCCTCTCCTCCACCACCGCGGCTTCCGCCGCTTCCGCGTTCGTCGGCTCGAGCGCGGAGCTCGCGGCGAAGGTTTGCAACGTGGAGTGTCGCGTCACGATGCGCAAGACCGTCAGCAAGGTCGCTGACAGCCTGAGCCAGTGGTACGGCCCGGATCGCAGCCTGTTCCTCGGCCCGTTCAGCGCGCCTCCCGCGTACCTGAAGGGCGAGTTCCCCGGCGACTACGGGTGGGACACGGCGGGGCTGTCGTCGGACCCCGAGACGTTCGCCAAGAACCGCGAGCTGGAGGTGATTCACTCGCGCTGGGCCATGCTCGGCGCGCTTGGCATCGTCTTCCCCGAGCTGCTGGCGCGCAACGGCGTGCCGCTGCAAGAGGCGGTGTGGTTCAAGGCGGGCGCGCAGATCTTCTCCGAGGGCGGGCTCGACTACCTGGGCAACCCCGCGCTCATCCACGCGCAGAGCATCCTCGCCACGCTCGCCGTCCAGGTGCGTTCCTTTTTTTTGTTTTTTCATCATTCCCTGCTTTGGCCCCGTCGTTTTGTCGCGATTATCGTTTTTCCTCGTCGTTGGATTCAGTGATGCCCGAACACACACAATCTGACGATCTTTTTGTAACATGGTAACCCGATCGGGTCACGCAGGTGGTGCTGCTGGGCGCGGTGGAGAGCTACCGCGTGGGCGGTTTGGAGGGGTTCCAGGAGGTCGAGGATCCGATCTACCCGGGCGGCGCGTTCGACCCGCTGGGATTGGCGGACGATCCCGACGCGGCGGCGGAGCTGAAGGTGAAGGAGCTCAAGAACGGCCGCCTCGCGCAGGTGTCGGCGCTGGGCTTCTTCGTGCAGGCCATCGTGACGGGCAAGGGGCCCCTCGAGAACCTCGCGGACCACCTCGCCGACCCCACCGCCAACAACGCGTGGGCATACGCGCAGAACTTTGTGCCCGGCGCGTAGAGGGGCGGAGAGAGGTTTGATGGGATTGGAGGAGGTTTTTGAGGGAGTTGGGAGGACAGAATCTCTGGGGTTAGTGACTGCACATATCTGTACAGCCAGGATTTGTGTAATACGGTATGAATGTTATCTGAGGTTTGTAAGTTCTGTTTAAATCCTTTCAGCTCATTCTGGGATCTTACAACACAACCCCAGCTGCAGAGGCGAATCTGTCACTGAATTGGTATGGTAGCTCTGAAACGGTAGCTCTGAAACGCATCTCTTGGTTTACCCAATACCGTACTTCACCTTTGATGTGTCTGGCTGGCTTGCGGCGTAAACACAAAAGGATGCGGAGTATTGAGTGAAGCCGTAACCGGATCTCGAGGTTTGTGTGGTGAGCAGCAAGAACGAAGAGAATTTCACCATTTTGAGATGGAAATACTGCAAGGTGGCTAGGCCATTAAAGGCCCTCCTAGATTTCCACCTTTAGGTGGACCTGAGTTTGCAGTGCACCACAATACACAAGCGGTTCAGAACGAGGTACAGAATAGTGGAACGCAGTACAGCAGCTGGTGACTCATGCATTCATCCACTTATTGAGTTCCCTCACCCGCAAGTCCTCCGTCTCCTCGCCTCCACACACCCAGTCATCCCCACAATGCTCCACCCCCAGTGCCCCCCTCATCCTTAACACATCCTTGCTCCAGGTCGACCGCGGGGTGCCCCAGAACACGAGCGCATGCACACACACCATCTTCTCCACCGTGCCCCTCGTGCTGCTGTGGGCTATGATGCCCGCTACCTGCAACTCTGCTGCTCCTGGCGCAGCTGACTTGGAGTGTGGGTACTGAATTACGGTTATCTCGCCCCACACTAAGGATTTGAGCATCTGGGTGAACCAGCAGAGCTCCTGAGGAGGGATGGAAGAGGGAACGGGGAGAATGGACAGGTGCGATGTGTTTGAGCTGACCACGGGGTGCCCCAGAACACGAGCGCATGCACACACACCAGTTTCTCGTGCTCCTCGTGCTGCTGTGGGCTATCATGCCCGCTGCCTGCAGCTCTGCTGCTCCTGGTGCAGCTGACTTGGAGCGAGGGTATTGGATAACGGATAGCTCGCCCCACACTAAGGATTTCAGCATCTGGGAGAACCAGCGAAGCTCCTGGGGGTGGGATGGGAGGGAGGATGGGGGGAGCGGATGGGAGAATGGACAGGTACGATGTGTTTGAGCCGACCGCGGGGTGCCCCAGAACACATGCGCATGGGCACACATATCATCTTCTCCACCGTGCTTCTCGACACATTGCCGTGGGATAAGAGTGCATTGCCGTTTGATCTCACGCGAACTACTTGGGATCGTATCCTGCTATTCCCAGCTCTCACCTGGTCGGTTGTATCTGTGGCGACGAAGAGAGTCCGCACAGTTTGGTGCTGTTCCATCCCACTTGATGCTGCCCCCTCCTTCACTCCAGCAGCAACAGCCACAGCAGCAGCAGAACCACCACCAGAAGCAGCAGTAGCACCAGCAACACCAGCAGCAGCATTGAGGGCATTGATCCGATCAGCCACACATCGGGCGATCTGCGACAGCGGTAACCAGCACCGGAAGCCCGGCCTCAAGCAGTGCGTCGCGAAATCCGTCCGCCGCAGGTGCAGGGCGGCGAAGCGTGTGCCGAGCACACGCCGCGTGAACGCGTGGGCGGCGGAGAGGGCGGCGGGGTGCGGACGCATGGCGAGGCGGCAGGGCGGCAGGATGGGGACGGCACCATTGAGACCATCGTAGAGACCAGGCAGACCGTCACTGCTGGCATGACCTTCCAGCAGCTTATCGGCTAGCAAACGTGCTCGAGCATCTCGAGCGCCGTTGACACCATCATAGTGACCTTCCACCAGCGAATCTGTCAGCGATCCTCCCACTCCCCCCAGATCTTCCCCCGTCTCTCCCACCTGTCCCACATCCACGCTCCCTGTAACCTCAAACACGTCTCCCAGCCCAATGACTTGCTCTGTGCGAGCGCCAAAGAAGGAGAGGAACTGGCGGAGAGTGACGTTGGAGGCGGGGATGGGGGCTGCTGTACAGACGCGGGCGAGATGTGCCGGGTCGTTGATATTGGCCTCGCTAGCAGCACCACCACCATTGTTAGTATCTTCATTATTGATACCACCACCGGTGCTAGTGCCAGTGCTGGTGGTGCTGGAATTATCACCACTGTTACTGCCACCGGTGGTAAAATCATCTGTATCAACGCCACCATCATCATCACCATGAGGTAACAGCTTCACCCACGGCGCATCGCGAATGAACCGCTGACACGTGGCATGCACGGATTCGCCGCCGTGCCACCACCACCACATCTTCACCTCCACCCCCCTCCTCCTCCTCCTTGGCTTCCATAACTCCCCCATCCTCCCCAGCCACCCCTCTCCACCGCTCCCAACCCCCTCGCCTCTGAGGTATGCGTCCACAGTGACCACTCGCCCCTGCCCCACACACTGCTGTAGGCCTGCCACGTCTAAAGCCACTCCCAGGTCCATCCACTCTAGCGGTGCTCCTGATAAAACACCTGATAAAATACCTGAAGATACACCTGAACCTGACGCTCCTGATACATCTGATGCGCCAAGTGCCCTCCTACTGGGCATATTAGCAGCAAGAAGACCATGAATCCTGCTCGTGTCTCCGCCATGCATCAGTCTCTGCTCCCCTCCTTGCCCTTTCACATCTCCCCCCTCCACCACATCTCTCTCGCTTCTCTCTCCTCCTCCATCCGTGTCCCTTCTCCCACTACCCACGAGTCGCCTGCGAGTGTGGCTCTGCACTCTCGAGAGGGGTAAGCCGCTGACTGATGCGTCGGGGAGTGAGTGTGGAGAGGTGCTGAAGAGAAACGAGGAGATAGATGAGGAGGAGGAGGAAGAAGAAGAGGAGGAAGAGGAGGAGGATGAGAGGGATGAGTGGGGGGAGGGCTTAGCAGCCAACGAGCCAGTCGACCCTAAGTCCACACGACTCCCTTGCCTGAGCCCACGGGTGAACCATGCCCCCTCGTGCGGAGTGGAAGCACCAGGAGAGGCGGGAGGCACTACTGGCAGCAGAAGGGAGCGGTTGAGCAGAGCTGCGAATGCCAGGTACCTGGAGAGGCAGGGGAGAGAGGAGGGGGAGGAGGGTTTAGCAACGGAAGAGCCAGCAGAGCTTGTCTACGTGGCTCCCTTGCCTGAGCCCATGGTGGAGCACCACCAGGAGAGGTGGGAGGCACCAGTGGCAGCAGCAGAGAGCAGTTGAGCAGAGGTGCAAAGGCGAGGTACCTGAAGGAGTGAAGAGAAAGAGAGGTTTTGAGACGTCTCAGAACGAGATACAGGCGTGGCAGCGGTAGGTAGCGGATGAACAGAGATGCAGTTGCCAGGTGACTGGAGGGACAGCACGTGGAGGGAAAGGCTGGGGGAGGAAGGGGAAGGGAGAGGGCGGTGGGTGGAGGGGGGAAGAGAGGGGGTGATGGGGGGAGGAGGGTAGAGAGGGGTTGATGGGGGGAGGAGGGTAGAGAGGGGTTGATGGGGGGAGGAGGGTAGAGAGGGGTTGATGGGGGGAGGAGGGAAGAGAGGGGGTGATGGGCGGAGGAGGGAAGAGAGGGGGTGATGGGGGGAGGAGGGAAGAGAAAGACGATGGGGAGAAGAGGGAAGCGAGTGGGGCGATGGAGGTTTGTAGGGAGGAGAGAAAGCAAGTGCGCGAGAGAGAAAGAAAAACCAATTGAGAGAACGAGCAAGGGCATACCCACCTCCGAATGCAGAGCAGGTGGTTGGAAGTGCGGCCATGCGTGCATGTGGCAAGCAGGTAGCGGTGGGGGTGGGGGGGTTTCCAGGGGGTGGGGAGTGGGGGAGGGGTGGGGAAGGGAGAACAAGAGACCGGAACGAGGGGAGAGCAAGAGGGTGCCTACCTTCTAATACAGAGCAGGTGGTTGGAGGTGCGGCCATGTGTGCATGTGGCAAGCAGGTAGCGGCGGGGGTGGGGGTTCCAGGGGATGAGGCGGGGGGGAGGGGGAAAGAGAGAGGCGGAGATGGGGGAGAGGGAGTGGGTTGTCGGGTCGGTGCGACAGACTGGGGGAAGGTGGGAGGGAGTGAGGTGAGAGAGGAGGAGGGAGAGGTGGGGAGGGAGGGTAGTGTTGGGTGACTGAGGAGGAGAGGAGGGGTCGTTGCGAGTGGTATTGAGTGCCTGAATGAGATGGGGGTGGGTGAAGAGGAGGGAAAGTGGGAGGGGGAGGGAGAGGTGAAGAGGGGGGGGCGTGGGTGGAAGAGGAGTGGTGGAGGAGTGGTCGTAACATCAACAGTGTAGCAGAGTTATCAATCAATCAATCAACCCAATACATCCAGGGGGACGAGGAAGTTAGGAAAACAAAAAGAGAGACCAGATCTGAACTCGAAGTTTCTTGAAATCTCACCTGCCCACTCTCAGCCGCCATGCCTTCCTCATCCTTTGCTCCTGTTTCATCCCACTCATCTCCTTCCACCACCAACTCTCTCCCTGCTTTACTGCCGCTGTTGCTGCCACTGCTCCCACCAGCAGCAGATCCAGCAGCAGCAGATCCAGCAGCAGCAGCAGCAGCAGCAGCAGCAGCAGCAGCAGCAGCTGTATCCACCCATGATGGCAGATCGTCCTCCTCATCCTCCTTCCCACCTCTCTCTTTCCTCTCCCCTTCTCCCTCCTCCTTTTCCTCAGATACCCCCCTCCCTTCTCCCACTCCCTCCCTCTCATGCTGCAAGCTCTTCAGCATCGCCTCCACTGTAGCTATCCTCGTTTTAAGGATACGCTCCAAACGAATCAGCCCCGCGGCAGCAAGAGTCCTGTCAGCGTCAGACTGATTTTCATCAGCTGAACGCGAAACTGTGTTGCTGCCGTCTCCCACTCCACCTGCTGCACTGTTCAGGCACAAGGGTACATGGAAGCATGGCAAAGAGGCAACATGGCGAAACGACAACAGGGCGACACACACATACATAGAAAGGTGGAGAGGAGAAGCGTTGAGGAGAGGCGTTGAGGAGAGGCGTTGAGCCCACATGCACACACCACCACCCGCGGAGTCATTACATACCCCTACTGGCCCCTGTGCTGCCAACTCCACCTGCTGCTGCCAACGGGACATGTAAACGAAAACCGACATATTCGTATTCGTATTTGGTAATCAACGATAAGAGAGTACAATACAAAACAAATAAAATGGATATTCGACTCGTATTTGGTTATCGACTATTCAACATATTCGACATTCGCCGACAGAATATCCGGATAATTTGTACAACCATTCAACTGTACTAATTTGCATCCTTCTAGATTTTGAAGGTACGTTTTTAAAAGGGTGGGGCGCTGGAAAAATCCCACGTTTCAATCATGTCATCAGTGCAGTGAGAAAGCACCGGCGGGGCGGATGGGCCTATCATGCACCATGGACCCAGGTCGTGTGCATGGGACAACCTTGGCTATCTGATAAACCACCCACGTGTTCTGAAGCAAAAACAGAATTCGTATTCGTACCCGACACAGAATTAGCTATTTGAACGGTATTCAGATTTGGAAGAAGTGGGCTCGTAAACAAAACACCAATTTTCCTGCTATCTGTCAACGATTCGTATTGAAAACCATATTCGAAACCGTATTCGTATATTTACACCCTCAGCTGCATTGTTCAGGCCCAAGGGCATAAGGCAACATGGCGACACATATCCGAAGGTGGTGAGGTGAGGTTAATGAGCCGACATGCACACACACCTCCCTCCCACTGAGTCAGCAAATACCATTTCCCGGGCCCTGTGAAGTCACCTGCACCAGGGGGAAAGTGGTCCAATCTCACCTCTCTGCACCGAGTCATGCCATGCTGCATCTCATTCTTTTCGTTGCTGCTGTTTCCCTTGCCGCTGTTGCTGTTCTGACTGATGACAACCCTTTAGAGTGCTCATTGGTCACATGTGCCAAGGGGGAAGGAGTCCATCTCACCTCTCTGCACCGACTCATGCCATGCTTCTTGCTGCTTCTGCTGCTGCTGCTGATGCTCTTGTGGTTGCTGTTATAGCAGCATTTTGGAACGCTCATTGCACTCACCTGCACCAAGGGGGGAGGGTTACAACCTCACCTCTCTGCACCGACTCGTGCCATGCTTCTTGCTGCAGCCCCTGTTGTTCTCGTGGTTGCTGTTGTAGCAGCATTTTATAGTGCTCGTTGCAGTCGCCGCCAGCTCTGTGCGACCCAATGCTGATCCCTGACCAGAGGAAGTAAACCTGAAAAGAGGGGGAGAGAATGCAAAGTCTCTTATTAAGGTGCCTCGGTATAGCTACTTGCATCAGGGGGTTGGTACCTGTGCCAGCTCTGTGCGACCTAATGCTGATCCCTGACCAGAGGAAGTAGGCCTGAGCGGAGGGGAGGAGAGAGAAGAGGGGGGAGTGAGGGGCGGGATAACCTCGAAAATAGCCGCCCGCACCAGACGAGGTAGGCCTGAAATGAGGCGGAGAGTGAAGAGGGGAGAGAGTGAAGTGGGTGAGTGAGTGTGTGAGTGAGTGAGAGTGCTGATCCATTCTCTCTCGCTCTGCACTCGCTCTTCCGATCACCACTCTCTCTCTCCCTCATCCGATCGTCACCCTCTCTCTCCCTCGTCCGATCGCCACTCTCTCTCTCTCTCTCCCCCTCATCCGATCGTCACTCTCTCTCTCCCTCGTCCTCTCGTCACTCTCTCTCTCCCTCGTCCGATCGTCACTCTCTCTCTCCCTCGTCCGATCGTCACTCTCCCTCTCTCTCTCCCGCGTCCGATCGTCTTACCTGCGACAAGCACACGAGGAGCAACAGGAGGTGGCCAGAGCGCCGCACGAGCGTTGCGAAAGAAGGACGCCATGACGGCATTAGCGCCGCAAAGGACGGCCGCCATGGCCGCATGAGGCGCGGCACGAGTTTCTCCTCGCAGTCAGCGCAAGCAGCGTAGGAGCTAAAATGACTTTTGAGACGTCTCAAAAGCCGTGCTTCTCCTCGCAGTCAGCGCAAGTAACGTAGGAGCTAAAATGACTTGCGCGGAGTTTAACGGAATTGTTAGGGGTTGAGCAGGAAGGAGTTAAACAGAAGGAGATAAGGAGATAGTGGCGTGGGACGAAGCGCGAGGATGAACGTCCAGACCGGGCGGGGTTAGCGGCGCTGCAGGGGTGAGGAATCCAAATGCGCTTCAGCGTCCTGACGACATGATCGGCGCGGTAACCGACGGGGTCCTGGCAGTGTCTTGCTATAAAAACCGCGACACAGTACTGTCCCTATTTGGTTGACTGACAATATCGAGGAAATAAGCTGAGGGCTAGGATCAGAAATCCATATCAGGGATCAAGGATCGAGTCTACTGAACGGCTTAGTTTCCCTTGCAAGATCGTGTCGAGACGAGGCAGTAGTCTGTTCTCAACAACCACGCGACATGGGCAAAAAATATAGTTGGCGAGAGTTGCGCTGTAACCCGAACACCATCTCGCATCACTCTTGATGTGCGAAGAGGTGAAATGCTTTTGTCTTGTGATTTCGCGATTGTCGTGGTCTACATTGTACTTCTGCGAAATAAATGAGAATTCGCGACCCTCTTTCACTGGTCGCATCAATCGTTGACATTCCAAGCGTAGTCATACGTTTGAGTGCGGATGAATTGAACTGATGAGGCTGGAACTGGTATTTTTCGGTTTCGCACCGTGGACAAAAATCGTCCTTCCGGAACACGCCTTAAAACTCGCTCAGTTGCAGTATTCCCACTTTTCACGACGCCCTAAATCGCGAGTATCATCGCGATATCGTATTATTACGACACCTAGTCTGCATATTCATGCTGTAGAGCGTATGACTCGCTCTGCTGTTCACCAGCAGTACCTTTCCCGATGGCGAGATTCGCGACAGTCGCGGAATTCGCGAGCTTCGATGCACGATCGGGACATCTTCGAGGCGCCTAGAAAACCTACGTCTGGTTCTGCTATCCCCCCGCGCCGCTCTCAGTGGCTCGCATTGTTAGCGTTGCTGCTGGCGCTGCCGTTGACGTTATCGCTGGGCGATGACGTGTCCAACTGTGATTCGCTGGTCAGTGGTCCCGATCCATCCATCGTTCGCCATTCTCGCATTTCTTCGTCTCCCTCTCTTTTCTTCCCCTTCGACATTTTCGTTTTCCCTCCTCCGACCCTATTTTCGCCCCCCTCTCCGTTCCCGTCACCCTCTCCGTTCCCGTCACCATATGCCTGTGATGAGACGATTTTTGAGTTAATAACAAAATCGTCTCAATTTCCTTTTCCCTCCGACCCGCAATCGCGCTCTCGCCCCATTCTCCGTTCCCGTCACCACATGCCTTTCCTCTCTCTCCCCATTGTCAAGCTCTCCATCAGTATTTGTTCCCCTCTTCCCCTCACTTCCACCCACCTTCCTTGGTCCCACTCTCAGAATTTTGTCCTCCCTTCCTCTCACTCACTTCCTCCCGTCCGCCTGCTCCCTCTCGCAGGTTCTTTTCTTCCTTCTCCTCAAAATCGGCCTCCCTCCGCCCCTCACGTCTCAGGGTTCCTCCCGTCTAATCGGCTTTCCTTCCTCACGTCTCACCCTCCTCTCACCTCACCTCCGTTTTGGGTTTCCCGAGCACCACTGTGGGGACTGGTGGAAGGAGTATGTGAAACGTCATAACGGTGTGAGGGGGAAACGCACTTTGAGTGTCGTCCCATCTCAAACCCTGTTGCTCCCTCCCTCTCCCCCATGTAATCCCCTTCCATCAGGGTTCGTTCCTCCCCTCCTCGCGCCTCGCCCCCTCCTCTCACCTCCGCTTCGGGTTCCCCGAGCACCTCTGTGGCGACTGGTGGAAGGAGTATGTGAAGCTGCATGCAGGCATGCGGGAGGAAAGCAGAACACAGCACGCACAGGCACAGGCACAGGCACAGGCACAGGCACAGGTCCAATCCCAGACGCAAGCCCAGGCTCAAGCACAAGTCCAAACCCAGGCAGGTGTGGCAGTTGCTACTGCTGCCGATGCCACAGCGCCTGCTGCTGCTGCTGCCGCCTCAGCTCCTCCCCTCTCACTACCACTCCTCCCCTCCTCCTCCCCCTCCCCTCCCCCTCTCCGCTTCCTCACATACGAAGTCCTCTTCGGCTGTGGGGGGCTGGGGGACGCTCTGATTGGCCTAGCCGCCGCGTTCACTGTAGCACTTTTGGACGGACGTGCCCTGATTCTCAACCACCCGTGCTTGCCGCAAGCCTTTGACCCTGCCCACGTTGACTGGCGGTTGACCGACGATGTCCCCATGGAACCTTCCAGGAAATACACGTACGTTCCGCCTCCTGACGTCGGCCCTTCTGCTGCTAATTCACCACCGGCTGCTGGTGCTGCTGCAGGCAGTGAGGCAGATAGTGAGGCAGGGGCAGAGCCAGCAGACGCAGCGGTGCAGGCAGGGGAGGTGGTTCGGCTGAACCTCAAGAACCGCCATGTGGACTTGCAGCCGCTCTTCTCCCGCCTCGCCCCCGCCGCCAACATCCTGCTGCGCTGGAACCGCGGCGTGCTCACCCGGCTTTTCATGGAGGCTTATAACGCGGATAGGGAGGCTTATAACGCGGATAACGGAGGGAAGGAGGAGGGAGGGGTGGGAGGCGAGTGGGGGATGAGGGGCAGCAGGGAGTGGGCTTTAAGGTTGAGGAGTATGGGGCTCAGGCTGCCGCTTGCAACGGGATGTTTTCTGCGCTTCCTTCTCAGGTGATTACTCAGGTGCTTTCTCAGGTGGTTGTCAGGTGGGTGGGGGATGCGGCTGTGCAGTGGGGAGTGGACTGTGAACGTAAAGGCTGTGAAGGGTTGGGGCTCAGGCTGTTGTTTGCAACAGGCGTAACTTGCTTCGGTTGCTTGCCGCGGGTGCGTAACAAACCTTCACCCCTTCCCACTTCTCTCTTCTGTTGCCTCCGCTCCTCCCGTCCATCCCCGTAACACCCTCGTCCCTCCCATCCCATCATTCTGTCCTCTTCTCTTCTCGTTTCTCCTCCTCATCATTGCTTAACCAGCCTTCACCCCTCCATACCCACCCCTCCCTACCTGCCAATCATCCCTTCTCCTTCCATCACGTTTCTTCCCCCACCCGTCCCCCTTTCCCCTGTCCCCATTCTTGTTTCTTCCTTCCGTAATCCTGCTCGCCTAGCCCTCCAGACCAAAGCCTGAGGTGTGGCAACTCATCCGACCGTTCGATCAGCAGCTGAGGGGCGATCGGACGGTTGTGATCGGCTTACACATTCGATTCGAGGACAGAGCAGTGTGGGGCGAGGGAGGGGAGGGGGCGCCGTTATCACTCTCAGAGGAGCGAGTGAGGGCGATGGTGGAAGAAGTCAAACCCACTCTTGAGTGTGCCAAGGTGAGGAGGAAGGGTTTGTAGGGGCCTGGATCAAGAGGGGTTAGAGGAGGGGACGCCTTTGTCACTCTCAGAGGAGCGAGTGAGGGCGATGGTGGAAGAAGTCAAACCCACTCTTGAGTGTGCCAAGGTGAGGAGGAAGGGTTTGTAGGGGCTGGGATCAAGAGGGGTTAGAGGAGGGGACGCCTTTGTCACTCTCAGAGGAGCGAGTGAGGGAGATGGTGGAGGAGGTTAAACCCACACTAGAGTGTGCCAAGGTAAGGAAGGGCATGTGGGGGGACGGGGTCAAGAGGAGGTAAGAGGAGGATGCACCCTCGTCACTCTCAGAAGAAGAGCGTGTGGGGCAGATGATGGAAGACGTTCGATCCACACTTGAGTGTGCAAAGGTGAGGGAGAGGATTGGAGAGGAAAGAGGGGCACTGGTAGGGGGAGGGAGAGAACTGAGGGAAGGGAGGATGCATCTTTATCAGTCTCAGAAGAGCAAGTGAGGGAAACGGTGGAAGATGGTGGGAACCATCGTTCGCGATGGTAAGGTGAGGGATTCACAGGGAGGGGTTCACAGGGAGGGGTGCACAGGGAGGGGTTCACAGGGAGGGGTTCACAGGGAGGGGTTCACAGGGAGGGGTTCACAGGGAGGGGTTCACAGGGAGGGGTTCACAGGGAGGGGTTCACAGGGAGGGGTTCACAGGGAGGGGTTCACAGGGAGGGTTCACAGGGAGGGGTTCACAGGGAGGGGTTCACAGGGAGGGGTTCACAGGGAGGGGTTCACAGGGAGGGGTTCACAGGGAGGGGTTCACAGGGAGGGGTTCACCAGGGAGGGGTTCACAGGGAGGGGTTCACAGGGAGGGGTTCACAGGGAGGGGTTCACAGGGAGGGGTCACAGGGAGGGGTTCACAGGGAGGGGTTCACAGGGAGGGGTTCACAGGGAGGGGTTCACAGGGAGGGGTTCACAGGGAGGGGTTCACAGGGAGGGGTTCACAGGGAGGGGTTCACAGGGAGGGTAGGGTTCACAGGGAGGGGTTCACAGGGAGGGGTTCACAGGGAGGGGTTCACAGGGAGGGGTTCACAGGGAGGGGTTCACAGGGAGGGGTTCACAGGGAGGGGTTCACAGGGAGGGGTTCACAGGGAGGGGTTCACAGGGAGGGGAAGGGAGGAGACAGAAGAGGACCTGGATGCAAAAGCGCGTCGTTTGTTTTCTCCCCCTAAATGAGTCCACTATAAATACTCCATGAGTTTCTCCTTCCATTCGACCCCCACCCCGCCTTCCTTCAACACTTGTTCTCCACCCTCAACACGTACAGCGAGTGTTGGTGTGTGAATTTAGAATATTCTCCAAAACACACGTTCTCCAACACATCAAGTAACACCAACACACGTTCTCCACCCTCAACGCACACAGCGAGTGCAGGAGTGGCACGTCCCCTCCATCCACCCTCCCTGTCAAGCGGCTTTCTATCGCTCCTTGTTTTGCTCCTTATCTTGCGCCTCAACCCGTCTCCCTTCCACTCTCCCCACTTCATTCCCGCAAAGAGTGCAAAAGTGGCATATCCCCTCCTCCCTCCCTGCCAAGTGGCTATATCTCTCCCTTATTGCTCGTTCTGTTTCTCCGCACACCCCACTCCCGCCTCCATTCTCCCTCCACCCCGCAGCGAGTGCAGGAGTGGCACGTCCCCTCCTCCCTCCCTGTCAAGTGGTTGCTCCTTTGCAACTCCATGCAAGTCAAAGAGGCCATTCGCAAGCAATACCCGGACAAGGTGAGGGACTCGCAGACAATACCCATCCAAGGTGAGGTATTTACAAGTCAAGCGTCTCTGTAAGTACCCAGAAAGGATGAGGCTTTTCCAAAAAGACGGAAATAATCGCACAGTTGAAGGTAAGGCCTTACCTTGCGCCTTACAATAGCGGGTATGGTCACCATGCTGAAACATGTTTTCCTAAGACTAGAGTTTGAATCGAGCTGTACGTTTGGGTTTTACTCGAAGGTATTCGTGGTTACTATTGATTTTGCAAAGTGACTACCATCTCTTTGCTAACACGGCCCATCCTACTGCCGCCCTTCCTCATGTGCAACGATCCTTGGGACTTTGTCATACTATTACTAAACTCTATCTTTCCCCCGCGTTCCTTCATCAAACTAGAAAATGCTGAAGGAAAAAGAAAAACATTCCTGGGGGGGGCGTTCAAGACGATGGTGTCGGCGGCAGTTTGGAGAGAGATCACACGGGTGGTGCACACAATCTTGCCTGAGGAGGGGCCAGCGAGAGCGGATGCGCTGGAAAAATTGGAGAGAAGCGTGCAAAGGTTTTTATTACCCACGGACGTTAACTGCATCAGGAGGAACCTGACAAGAGCAAAAGAAATGGTGGGAAGACGTAACAGGTGGCCGAAGTGGACAAGAGGGAAGCACGGGGAGACGCCAGAAATCTGCCAGAAATTCCGGCGGCAGATTTCTGGCGTCTCCCCATGCCTCGCTGGCTCCTCCTCAGACAAGATTGTGTGCACCACTCATGTGATCTCTCTCCAAACTGCCGCCAACACCAGCGTCTTGAACGCCCCCCTAGTGTATGTTTATTTTTTCCTTCAGCATTATCTAGGTTCGCCTCCAGTTCTCTTCTCTGTGACCCGCCAGGTGGTAACCACCGACTTCACTCCGGCCACGCCATCAGCATGAGTGGGGACGACACCAGCATGCAATTCCCTCCCCATCCACCTCCTCCTCAATGCTTGCTCCTTTCCCTTCCCCCCGTCTCCCTTCCTCACCCACAGGTGGTAACCACCGACTTCACTCCACGCCACGCCAACAGCCACTTTCCCCTTGCCCCATCCTCCCATTCTCCAATTCCCTTCTATCCCTTTCTCCCTTCTTGCCTTTTCAACCTACAGGTGGTAATCACCGACTTCACTCCCCGCCACGCCAACAGCATGAGTGGGGAAGGCACCACCAACCCATCCCCATCCAACTCATCTCCCTCCTCTTCCTCCGCTCCCTTCCTTGAGCTCATAGCCGAGTGGTTACTGCTAGCCTCCTCCCATTTCTTCATCATTCCCAACTCTGGCTTCTCCCGCACGGCGCTGCTCTACTCCATGCATCCTGCAGGGTCTGCCTTTATGCCGCCTGATAACTGCTTCCCTGACGTGCCTGTTAGTCTCACATGGCTCGGAACCACATGGAGCAGAGTATAATGATGTTATGTCTAATAAAATAAGGGGCGCGCCGCGAATTTAGGCACCACAAAGACAGTATACCAATCTGCACACCTAAATAGCGTAGATGACGTTTCCACTGCACTGTATCTAGCCTTTTACAACACGCTTCCCGAATGCACCCTAAGATTGCTGATGTTCGCCTCCTCCCGTTTCTTTGCCATTCCCGACTCGGGCTTTTCCCAAACGGCTCTCCTCCTCTATTTAAAGCCAGCAGCTAAAATAGTGACCCCCCCCCCCTTCTAGTTGGGTCCACTTGAAGGCAGAAGTTTTGTTGGAGCGCTTCGTAAAGCTGGAAGTGCTGTGCTTTTATATTTTTTCACTAGAGACGAGTCTCGGTGTGAACAAGAACATTTGAAACATGTGTACAATTCTGATTGGAAGCGAAACTCACACATTGTATGCGATTTTGGCGCAAGGCTGCAATGCCTGTATGCACCTTGAACAGTGATCGTAACTTCAAAACATCACATTTAGAAAGCTTGCTTTCTAATACTTATCATTTGGCATCGTTCTCATTTCAACAGGGGCATCGTTCTCATTACAACATGCACCTCGAGCTAGACAATATAAGTGCTAGTACATGTCCTGATACTTCATATCAATCATTCGTCAAGCTATCAATCCTAATAGGTGTGCGCTAACCCATATTGTACCACTTGTGTCCTCCTGTATAAGCGGCGGCCTTGGTGTCCATCAGTGTTGGGGCGGGGAGTGGGAGACTTGCATGAGCCGATTAAAAAATGAGAAACGTGGGTGGAGGGAAATGAACTCCAACCCACGATTTGTAGTTGGAGAAGGGCGTTTAGCGCGCTTCGACGATGCCAATTTCGCGTTACAGTGAGCTGCGCTTTCGAAATACGTAATTTAAGAAAACACTATGTGTGTTTAAAAATTAGCATATTTACAAAGCTTGCTTTCTAATACTTATCATTTGACATCGTTCTCATTTCAACTAAGGTCTCTAAGACATGGGCAGCGGGGGTTTTTGATGACGCACGAGTGCCTCCGCGTGCTGAGCTGAAGAAGGGGCGTAGGCCAGATCTTGCAACTGGCGGGAGGCGCTGATGAGATGTTCGGCGTTGGGCGTGACGTACATCTCCTTCGCTGTATCGCTGCGCCATCTGCCCAGTCGTTTGAAGATTCTGTCCAGCACGCCGGTGTTCGCCGTAGCAGTGGCTGCTCCTTTGCGAAAGGAGTGAGTGCCCAGCTGCTGTTCCCCTAGTCCGATCTTCCCAAAGGCTTCTTTGCACCAGTTTCGGATCGTCGAGTACGACGGCGGCCTTGCTTGGCCTTGAAGTGAACCACGTCCAAAGATGCGAATCAGCAGCCCTGCGGTCTGTCGGTCGTATCCCGCGAGTTGGATGAGCCGTCGGGTGCAGCGGACAGGGCAAAAGGGATCATGAGTTGCGGCGATGGGTATCCATGTGCCCCTTCCAGCTTGGTCCGTCTTGGAGTACGGGATTAGGATCCACATGACCTCACTGTCGAACTGGATGTCTTGCCACTCGAGGGCGATGAGGTCTGAGTATCTTCAGAATTTAGTGTACATGAGGATAGGGATTAGCCCCTTTTAGAACTCCCCGGGTTTGTCGGATTGCAGGTAGCTCGCAGACATGTCGTGGACCTGTTGCAGCGAGACCGGCTCCTTTTTTTTCGTGTGGGGCGAGGACAATTTCTTTTCGCGAAGTCGCGTACTTGAGACGTGAATGGTCCGGTCATTGGGCATGTGCTCCCGGTCATGCGGTGTGCAAAGCTCACCGCTGAGCATTGTCAAGGTACTAGGAAGGCTTAGGAGCCATAGCTAGTAGGTCGAGTAGTTGAGTTCGAGTGAGTTTGGGTGAGTCGAGAAGATTGCAACAAAAGAGTGTGTTTCACTATAGAGCGAGCAATACAAATAGGCAAGAGTGAAGAAAGGTGCACCACCAAACAAAAAGTTAGATGACTACAGTATTCTACATTACAGGCAGTTACAAAACAATATATAGATTTATATATTATTCTGACAAGCATGTGAGTTGTACCATGGGCAGGGTGGCTCTGTGTTGGATAGCGTACACTAGGTATAGCACGAAAGTCATGTCCGACGTGGGGAGGAATGGGAGGTTGACCTTTGCACGAAATGCTCAAAACTTGACCCAGTATGGCTCGTATGTTCGGATCGTTGAATCGGCCTGAGACTGTGAGAGCATCTTTAATAGTTGGACTTGTAGCTTCAGTAATACGTCTGCGCGAAGGCGTACAGGTTGGGTTAGTCGAAGACCACTCGTAGTGCAATGATTGTGCTATGAAGCAGTCCTATGGCTGAAAAGGCAGTGCGGTGCGTTCCTACTGCTAGGCATTGGCTGCCGTGCGTTATGGGAATGTGCGCTTGGATGTGCGGGGCCCAGTTAGGTGGGGAGGGTTGTAGTAGTGGCCACCAGTTTGCCCCCGTCCAGTGTGGGACAATTAGGGTGAATGATGCATTGGTGCGTTGTGCGTGGCGGATGACTGCCGGGATCAGTTGAGATGGTGGGAACGCAAAGCCATTCTCGTTTGTCCATGAGCATGAGTATGCATCAACCACGGTAGCCTCGGGGTGTGGGATCTTCGAACAGAATCGTGGTAGCTGCGAGTTGCGATTGTGAGAGTACGACGGCTTATGCCAGCTATGCTTGCTTGCCTTTACTTTATCATGCTATTTCTAGCATAGGATAATTATATGCATGCATCAATTGCTTGATTTCCTAGGCTAGGTGCTTTCCTATATTTTATTATAGTTATAGCACCGAGCTAGGTTGCGTGCACCGAATTCTGGCTTTTCGGTTGCCACCGAATTGCCTTCTACCGAATTCGGTAAGGATCTGTTCGGGACGCTTCGCGACCCGTGGAACCTTTGCGTAGCACCTGGTTACAGCACCTTGTGTCGAGCCTATATATAGCCTCGTGTTGTACCCAGGTGATCATTCAATTTATTCAATTACAATTCTCGTTTCTCAGCTCGATCCTAGATCCTCACACTTGGTAATCAGAGCGGGTCTACACGCGAGGTCTTCAACCGCTTAGTTCCGGCCTTTAAAAAACTGCGGGGGCGACGACGAAAGCGACGATACGGGTATGAAAAACCAGTTCCGCACAATTTTTCTAAGTCCCCCTCGATTCGGTTTTCGAACACCCCTAAGATTTACTGGTGGAAAGGTTGGAGTTTCGACCGTTCGATCGAGTTTCATCTCAACGGCCCAGAGAATTTCGCCCAAAAAAGTTGAATTTGGAGCGTCAGATTGATTTTCTCTTCAACGGCCAAAATCGGACGCGAATTTCGCTTAAGGGAGATTTACGCGACCTATAGAATTCACGCTCGTCAATCCTATAGTCAACTTGACTCGCAGTGAGTCGACCAGCACCTAGAATTTGATTATTTTCATCGCGCATCTTCCTGTAAATCGCCAAATGGAGGGAAAAGGAGATATTTCAGTACAGAAAATCGCGGAGTTACGTGCTGAGCATAAGCAAATACATGCGGCGCTCCCACGACTCGAAAAACTCCTTGCGAACCATTCGGCAACCGCCACAGCAGCAGCGACAACAGTAGCAGCAGCAGCAGTAGCAGCGGCAACACCGACAATTCTACATGCGACAATGGCAGCAGCTACAGTTAACCTCGAAGCAGTGAAGCCGAGGCTACCGGAGGCGTTTGATCCTACAGTAAAAAGGAACAACGTTCGTCGATTTGTAGCTGAACTCGAAATTTACTTCGAAGCTGCTGGATGCACAATGCCGACAAAAGACATAATGCGCATATGGCTCGCAGCAACACTGCTACGAGGCCCAGCTCTATGATCAACAACAGAATAGTCCAAGGCGAGGGGACGTGGGCGCAGTTTTCGGCAGCACTGATCGAACAGTTTGACACGTTGAACAGTAGCTACTACGGAACAAGACGCAACAAGCCAACTAGTGGCATGGGGCGATTAGCACCACCCACGACTGCCGACCCGATGGAGAACGACGAGGGCGATGTGGAGCAGCGGCTAGCAAATAATGAGACGTGCAAATTTTGCGGCGCTACAGGACATCGTATATTGGCGTGTTGGAAAATGAAGAGAAGGTGTGTGGAGGTGAAGGACAAGAACAATGCGGCACCCCCGAAGCAGAAAACGGACAACGTGGCAACTTCGGAGAGGGCGAAAAAAGGAGAATATGGTGGCGCAAATTTAAAACGTCACGACCAGCCGGCACCAGGGGAAATCGTCGAGACTAATGGAGGCTCCGCGAAACAAGACCCTGCACCGACTGGGAAACTCCAGCCGTATACCCCAACAAGTAAGAATATTACTTCTCGTGGGTTTCAAGCCTATATTAAGGGAGAGTCAGAAATTAAACCGGTACCGGGTATTATGGGGACCCTACTCAAGAGCGCTTATACGGGTCGAGCGTTCCTGTAAAAAGAAAGAACACGAATGAATGAACTATGAAATGTGTGAGTACAAGTACCAACCCTAATTGGGTTGTACCCCCTATGGGATACCCCACCATAGCCTACACAACTGCATAAGCTATAATGTTCTGACACACCCCCATAGGCAAAGTGGGGGAGAACAAGGGGTAAAAAAGACCTGTCAAGCAAAGCAAAGCAAAGCTCAGGGTGGATCACAACGTCACCACACAGTCCGAGCACAAGGTCAAGGCCATAAGGCCAGTTCACATGCAAGAGGAGACACATATATATATAAGGCTAAACAAACAAGAGCAGGTATATATATATATATATGTATATATACATATATGCAAGAGTACAAGCAAGGTCAAGAGGTGAGCAAGTGAGGTAAGACAGATACAAGTCCCAGCTGAGTACAGAGGCGCTGATGATCACAAGGCGGAAGTGCCTTCGTCAAAACATCAGCAGTGTTGGCCTCAGAGTCCACGTACGCAAGTCGCAACTGACCACGCTGCTCCAGCTCACGAGCAAGAAAGTAGCGGAGAGCAATGTGCTTCGTTCT